TTAATTGAAGTAGGCTTTCTGCCGCGGCACCGTTTTAAAGCGCCCTTCTGTTGCCGCGCTGTTGTCGCCGCGGTGATAATGCATGGTGATGACATCGCGGCTTTAGCGCCGCGATTTTATCACCGCGATTTTGACCAGCGCAGTTTTGTCATGCCACGGTTTACACTTACTTTCTCTACCAATCCGCAATTGTGTGCCTTCACTTGCAGGCGCCCCGTCCACACATGCTCCCGGCCTTCCGTGCATGCGCTTTGCTCCAAAAAGTCAGTAAATAGGATGAAATAGAGCCAGGCCGAGTGGGCAGGCCCACCTGCGATTTCTGCTACCGGTTCAGGCGAACTGGTCCAAACCAGCTGAATACCACCTCGGATAGTACAGGGCAGGGCAGATTTGATTCTTTATTGGCCAAGTGTGATTAAACACAAGGAATTTGTCTCAGGTGCATAAACTGTACATGCAAAAGCAATAGAGTAATAATCATAATAATGATACCAATAAGCAAGGTAGTCAAAAAGATGAGAAGAGTAATAGTAATACAGCCATACTAAAGGGGGAAATATACTTAGACTTAAGACTTCTTAGACTTAGCTCCCAACTCTTCTTAGTTGAATCAGATTAAAACTGTCCTTGTCTAGACATCCACAGCATATCTAGCACAAAACTAACACTGCACAGGTTTCTTCATTTGTAGACTTTATATTATTATGTTTATTGAAGGCTTTTCCAAGATCCATATATCACAACTGTGATGCCTGAGCTAACTAACACTTTACTGGACCATCTTCCAGAAGTTTATCTTTAGCTAGGCATGTTTTATTCCTCTTGTGTAATCTTCCAAGAGTTTAGTATTCTCTCTCTGGAAATGTTTTTCAGTCACTGATGTCAGTGATCCTTTAATTTTCCATTTTGCAGTGCCAGGTGATAATGAGGTTATTTTTATGTTTTAAACTTTGCTTAAATTAATCATGCTTCTTCGTTTTGCAAAGTAAACCCATGTAAGCCAAATTCTGCATGTAGATCATTTTGACATCTTTTAAATAGCTGTATTGTTAATAAGTAACAAGAGTGTAAGAATACACCTAGCTTTGATAAAATGGAAATAGCGTATTTTGCATTTTTAGCACATCGTATTTTGAAGTTCCAGGCTCCTGTTCCCTTTTAGAATTCCTTTCCAGTTAAACCATAGCCTGGATCATTCAGGCAAAGAAAATTAATAAGTCTTTCCTCTCCGTTGAAAACTATTAGACTAAACATGAGGCACCGAATTTAGGCATATTTCTCAAAGATAATCTTGTTCTTTTTCATCAAATACCGGTATTACATAGAATTTCCTTTACACGGGTACTTAATCCCTGGCATTTTTCGTGTTGATTGTTTTTAGTTTTTGTGGTTATAATTTATTGCAGATTTATTCCTCTTCTGGTCATGCTTTTTTTGTGTGTGTAATGCTGTGAAACTGTCAGTATTGTGTTACTGTGTTTTTGCAATATTATGCTTAATCATGCCTAAGTCTGAACATCTGATAATTATGGATAGGAAGTGAAGTCATATTCCTCTAAATGGAAACATTAATTAGAGGAATAAAAATATGATATATACAGGGGAGAAAAAATATAATTTATATTAGCAATTAACCTGAAACCAAAGCATACAATAGCAACAGTATCATTACAGAGATGAATCGGGATTTGGCCATTGTATTTTTCCAACATTAATAGTAATGTTGATGGTAGCTACTGTGCCTCAACTAATTACAGACGTTTTATTCACTCTGAGTTCATTTCTGTTGTATCACAGTTCTTGCCTGCTCCCTAGCTGTTTTCTGTTAATTTGCATTTCTAGTTATTCCGAGATAAAGGTAATTTTTCCAAAGGAGAGTAATTACTTTATTAAATAAACCATAGCGAATCAACCAAATTGGAAGGTCAGTAGCAAAGGAAGAGAATGTAAGATTCAAAAAGAGAAGCTATAATAAAATGTAAGAGATTAGTGTAAATCTTCATTAACTGCACTTAAATCCCATTGAAATCAGTGTGAAGAGTTCCTCCCCCACATATTTCTTATTTAATTCCCAATGATTGGTCCAATCTAAATCCTGTATTAAGCTGGGTTTCATTTAGTTTCTGAGGAGCTGCCTTTTGAAAGATTCACCAAAAGCCAGCTCACGTGTGTAATAAGAAAAATCCAACACATGCTAAAGTTCCACTTTTAACTAGTATTCATTTTGGAATATAGCTTTGTATAATGTATAAATTATTGGCAGGAGCACTAGAGAAACCATGTCTCTCAGCAGGGTTGGGATTCAGCCGGTTCGGACAGGTTCGGCCGAACCAGATGCTAATTTTACATCTGGTTCGCCGAGCCGGTAGTTGCAAGGATTGGCTGCCCTGCCTGCCCCGCCCCTCCCAGGTGACCCTTTTTGGATGTCAGGTGGGTGCAAAGCCTGCATGGAGGCTCTGGGAGGGTGAAAAATGAGCGTCCTGGAATTTCCAGCCTCCAGAACCCGGGAGAGACTGTTTTCGCACTCCTGGAGGCTTGAGGAAAGCTTGTGGAGCATGAGGAGGGTGAAAATGACCCCCCCCCCCATGGTGCAGGAGGCCGAGTAGGCCACGTCCACCCAGCGAACAAGCAGGGAACCAGTTGCTAACATTTTTCAATCCCACCCCTGTCTCTCAGCTTAGTTTAGTTTAGTTTAGTTTA